CGCGGGGCCGGGGGGCGCGGGGCGCCGGGGCCGGCCCGCACGGCGCCGCCGCTGCCCTTTCCTTCTCCCGCAGCGCTGCCCGGGCACCTTCTGCGCGGCCTCCTGCCGCTCCTCAACGTGTTCTACCTGGAGCGGGCCGAGGGCGCCGCGCGGCGCGCAGGTGGGACGCGATCGCGGGGGACGGGGGCGACCGGGGGGAGATGGACCCCTAGGTGGAGGGGCACCCTCATAAATTGCAGGAATTGACCCCAAACTGAAGGTGTGAGGCCACCCACACGCTGCAGGGAGGAGGCACGAAGTGGGGAGGTGGAGCCCCTAGTGGGGACATAAACCTTAGGTTGGGTGGACCCCCCCAGACTGGAGGGCTGAGCCCTAGTCTGGAGGATCAGCTGCTCCCTGAGTTGTGGAATTCCCCCTCTTCCTTCCCTGCCGCCATAGGGACAGACCCTTCCGACATGGGAGAATCAATCCCAAAACGGAGGCACTAAAGGGCCCCTCTCCCCTGACAAATGAGGGGATGCCCCCCCCCCCCGCTCCCTCAAACCGCAGGGATGGAGCTTTGCAAACTGAACAAATAGGCCCTGAGCTGGCGAGATGAACACAGACAACATAATTATAACCCTTGCCGGGAACGCTGGTAGCTCAACTCCGCCACCTCATCACAAACACCCGGAAATCCAACAGGAAAGGCAGCTACACCCGTCCAAAATCCCAACCCCACTCATGGACACAGGCAAGGCTTTAATAAGCACAGGCTGTGTTGTAACACTCTTGGCTTATCAGCTGCTTCTTAGGTCCAACAAAATCATCCGTATTGTAAGTTCTATCTCTTAAAAGGGGATGTGTTTTTACTGTGTCACATCCCACGTAACAAATGCAAAACGTCTTTCTCCTGCTCTAGGAGCTGAATTTGCTTCCCCTTAGAAAGCTATTTCCTCAGCTGCCCAAACACACATAAAACCCCAAGGAGGGGGAGTCTGCAGGACTTTAGGCTGGAGGAAGGGGTAAAGGTGTCCAGTTTCTTTTTTTCAGGCCTCTCAACGCAGCCAATTTGGCGCAAGCTCTGGGATGATGTGATGAAAATCAGGCCACCCAACTCAGAGGTGAGGAAAACCTGCTCATGGGGAGTGGAGAAAGAGCACAAAGCAAATGCCATGTATTTAGAAGAATTTTCTTTACATAGAACTGAAAAAGTTTCATTGACGTGGCATAACAAAAGAACGGTTAGGAGACAAGTTGACCATAGTCAACAAATAAACACTCAGAAGAAAATTTTTGATAATGTGCTCCTTAGTAATTTAGCTTGAACTCCAGACCCATGAATATATTAAGTTAAGCTAGAAGAGGAATGAAATGATAGCAGGGAGGATAACTCAGCTTTTGAACAAACACAGCGAGGAAGAATATTGTGGACTAGGAAAGTAGTTTCAGTTGTGCTGGTAGCTTTGCTTGAGGTCATATTTACTGTAGCCTTAACAGATACCAATAATTTTATTCAGAATAAGAAAGATCTTGGGTGACTTTTTCTTGATGTGGCTTTGTTGAACTGCTTTGTCCTGGTTGACCCTAAGGCGATGTAATTGCAGAATGTAACCTGTTGGAGGAAGAAGTTCCTTGAAACATTCTTCTTAAACGTTCTTCACGGCGTCTTGGATGTTTCTTCCGACTGGCGTCTCAACGACCATCATTTTTCACCGTTGCTGCACAGCTCGCAGCACGTTACCCAGCTCACTCTCTGCAACATGCTGCAGGCAGTGACCAAGCTCACTGCTGAACACAACCAAAAGGTACTCGAAAACCTGGCGGGCTCCCTGCGAATACTGAAGTTTCAGCACCTGCTCTCCACTGACCAGTCTGTCAGACATTCCCTGGTTTTACTTCTTCACCGACTGATTCACCATGGCTCTGTCAGCCAAGTGTCCGTGTACTCCTGGCCTGTTCCTGACACAGTTCTTCTCATTCTCATTTTGAGCATGAGTGCTGGCTACTGGTGCTCGGGAAAGGTGCTTCCGTATCGCAGCAGCCCCTGTGGCCTTTGCAGAGAGGACAGTGCCCAACGGCAGGAATCAACACGAGAGCAAACGGAGCTGGAGCGTTGCGATGGGAAGGAGCGGAGTGGCGACAAGGAGCTGCCGGCCTCCCTCGGAGCATGGGGGGCTCAAGAGGGGCTGCCCGGGCGCGGGGCTGACGCTCCCCACGGCCCAGCCATGTCTGCACTGCAAAGTGCTCCTTCCCCAGACGTGCTGCGTGAGGAGGGAAGCTCCGTGGCGTCCTGCAACCCCCCTGCAGGGTCTTCTCCCCGCTGCCTCGTGGAAGGGCCGTCCTGTCGGCCCGTCCTTCGGAAGCTCCGTAGGCGTCAGAAAGCTGCGGTGGGGAGGAGACGCCGCTGCCCCCGGCGAAGCAGGGGCGCGTATGATGACCAGGAAGACCTTTATGATTTTGTTTTTGCTGTTGCTAGAGAGAATGCTTCAGAATTACGTGGAAACAGTGTCACAGAAGGAGAAAACGCTGATAACTGTTCTAGCTCCTCCACAGGATCTCTGTGCTCCAGCAGTGCTGGTTGTAAGAAAAGAGGCAGCTCTCCTGGGACCTTCTCACTGAAAACTGCTCAGCGCTTCCGAAGCATATCCACACTGGAATTGTTCTCCATTCCTTTGACTGAGGATGCCTGTTGGACTCTGAGTAACCTGCTGAGCTCCTGGGTGTCATTAGAAAACCTGGTTCTGTCTTACAATGGTTAGTGGTAAGAACAGGATACTTCCTTCCAGCCTTGTTTTAATAGTAAGATTTACTGCTTAGATTTGCCCTCCTTTTATTTCTTTGTTTTAATGGAATGAGCATTTTAAGAGTAACTAGTCCTGAAAACACCATTGGCAGAGACTAAAATATGAAGAGTGTGAGTGAAGAGTGAAGTTGTTTGAAGGGAGAAGGACAGCCGTTTTAAGAGTAACTAGTCCTGAAAACATCATTGGCAGAGACTATAATATGAAGAGTGTGAGAAGTTGTTTGAAGGGAGAAGGACAGCCAGAAATGACAGAGAAAAGCCTTCATATATTGGAGGAAATAATGCTGAGATGAAAATATGGAATTGCAGAACACATTAGGGATGAGAAAAAGAAGGGAGTGGGACCTAAACCCAGTAGATCTCAAGGGCACATGATGTGTCCAGGAGACAAATCCGAATGCAGGGCAAACTCCATTCACGTGCTGAGCCCACCTTCCTCGTGGGCCAGAGGGACAGGCGCACCCAAAGCCGGCCGGTTTTTCCAGGCAGGTGGATCCTCATGTGCTGCGTTTTCACACCTTGCATAGTGCAGCTGGTAACAGGATTGGAGGCTGAGAATAAACCAACGTGGTGAATGAAGTGTAGCAAGTTCTGTGCGTATTGAGGCAGGAGGAAGAGAGTTGTGGTGATTTTGTATGTCCACCAGACACGGCAAGAATCTGTGACTTAGTGGTTTTGCATCTGCAAGTGCTGATCCGTACCAAAGATCAGAGCCGAACATTTGCAGCCAAATACTAACGGTATAAATTCTGTTCCTTAGAAAATGGTTTGGTCCAGCTATTCTTGCCATATGATCTAGTGAAAGGCTGCTTTTTTAACCAACAGGAGGCAATGTTCAGTTTTGGCCTTGCATCCAGTCATCCTACCTGCCTGTGAGAGACAGCACAGCAAGAAATATGGGGTGTCCCATGGGCATATGGGGGGTTTGCAAAGAGAGAAAGTCCAGGCAAAATACACTCGTGTCTTTACCCTGACCATAGCCTCAGTATCCCTGGGTTACTGCACCAGGCAGCTGCAAGGAATTTTGATGGTGGTTTCCTGATGCTTCCCAGGAGAATCGGAAGTCTGTTTGCTGGTCTCTCTTCCAGCAAATGTACTAGGAGGGGAAGGAGAAGGGGGCCCTTCTGTCCCAGAACACCCCATAGCCTTGTGCTCAAATGTCTCCTTGAGGAAGGGGAGAACCAAACCTCCCTCCTTCTCTCATGTTCCAGCTTAAGAACTTGTGGATAAAGTGTACGTAGCAGAAAGCTTCTCCTCTAGCACTCTGTGTATTTACCCCTTGGCTCGAGTGGCTTGGCTGGGCACTGAACAGCAAACTCCACGGCTGCTGCTGCTCCAGCCGTGCGTGTTGCAGCTCTGGGCCCGTGTGTGTGACACCACCTTTGCTCTCTGTCACCGTGTTGGTTCCAGGCCTGGGGGCGAACGTCGCGTGCCTCCTGTGGGCGCTGCGGGCCCTGTCGCGCCGGCCGGGCTGCCGCCTGCGCGTGCTGCGCCTCAGCGACGTCTTCTGCCACGTGCCCTGCGTGGAGCTGGTGCGCTGCGTCCTCAGCGCCCTGCCCCGTCTCCGCACGCTCTCCGTCAGCTTCGACCTCAAAAACCAGGCCGAGGGCAACGGGCCAGGAGGGAACCCGAGCTGCAGCGAGACGGAAATCCCAGGTAGGACATGGATTGGGAATGATGAACTGGATGCGGCCATTAAACTGCTCAGCAGGCTCTGTCTCTTTGATGGTCTGTGGGCTCTAAGGCTTGGCCAGTTTTGGCCCACCTTTGGGTGGAAGGAAAGTATTCTGTGGTAGTCACACTGCCAGAGGTGATGGTTAAGCACTTCCCATGCCATGGGTCACTGTTTGGGAACTTACAGCAGGGTATTTACAGCTCAGAGGTGTCTCATCGCTCTTGTTACTTGCTGTCACAGATAAGTGAGGTATTTCACTTGTAAGAGAGAAGCAGCAGCAATGTGTTTTCTTGAGATAAGAGTGATTTAACAGAGTTTGATGGCAAGGTACACTTGGTTATTTACTGTATGGAGGGTAAAACAGTAACTACATAAAGGGATTGAACAAAACTGTCCTGTTGAGTCACAAGGGTCGGAGTGCTTTGCTCCCGCTCCTCCTCAGAGGAGTCTGGGGGAAGCTAGATCCAAACTTAGTCCCAGACATGGTCAGTAGTTTATATCTAAAGGATTATGTGCACAGTCAATCAGAGATGCAACTTAGCAAAGTTTCCTTGTGCTGTTAGTCACTTACTGCGCATCTGTCCTGGGTGAGGAGTCTCAACCTCGAGGAGCAGCCCTGAGAGGTGCCCCCATTCCAGGGGAGGTTGTGGCCAGCAGCCCCCTTGCTGCGGGCTCTGCGCTGCCTCCCTCCTGTTGATGGGCTATGACTGACTAGCCATGTTGCACACCAAGGGGAGGTGGGTTGTAGCTCGCTTAGTCCTTGGCTGCCTGCTGCTGTCCCCCTCCCCAAATACCAGTTGGAACCAGGCACGGCTGTTCCAGCTGTTTCTGATGGTCATTGCCCGAGCTGGGGGACAGAGAGGTCAGGTGCAGGGGTAAGGGGAAAGCACCTTGTCACACCCTGGAGCAGAACAGCAGAAACCAGGGCTTGAGTGAGTATCCACGGGGGTAATTGAGGACTGCTCTGGGTGGGGGACACTGACCGCTTGGTGGATGAGCTTTCCTAAAGGGCTGTTTTGCTGCTAGTACATGGTAGATGGTGGCAGTACATGACTCCTGAAATGGGCCTTCAGCGATTTAAGTTATTCTAAGTGTGCATTGCTGTGCAGCTCTGTGGGGTAGGAGGCTTGACAAGTTTAAGCACGTCCAGTTTAAATGACACCTGTGTCAGCCAGGCTTCTTGCCTGCCCCAGCAGGCTTGGCTGAGGGACAGGCCCACCACACTGAGCTCCCTCCCTGTTTTCCTTCCCTCAGAGAGCTGCCTAGAGCAGCTGGAAATCCGGTTCCCGCGGGAGCCTCTGCACACCGCGTTGCTGCTGCCGGTGCTGAAGGCGTCGCGGGCCCTGCAGCAGCTGTCCCTGGACAGCGCCGCTCTGCCCTGTCCTCGGGAGCTCCAGGACCTGCTGCGAGCGCTCAAAGGTACCGGCCGAGCCCTGCGGCGCAGCGGGGACAACGAGCTGCCATCGCCCTTCCCTGGGGCCTCGCTTTTTAGTTGACTTTAGACACCCCCAGTCACTGCTTGCAGTTAGGCCAGCCAGGCTCGGCTTGGCTCTGGAAGCAATTCCAGTGTGTTGGCAAGGCTCTGCACCCATGCTGCTAGGCTCGCTTCCTGGGAATACTTAGGTGCTCAGGCATCTGAACCTCCTGGATGTGGGTTCCAGGCTCCTGCCCTGTCCCTCAGCCTTTTTAGCGTGGAGCCAGCTCAGGTGGGTCCCTTTCTTCCACGCAGACATCCTTGAAGTCACTTGAGAAAAGGAAATGGGTCTTAGCCATCCCCTTTTGTGCTGAGTGTGTGAACAGTCCTGCACAGCAGGTTCATCCCTCTTTCTTCATAATCCAGTCACTTTCTGGGCCTAAACTGGCGATTGTGTCAGGTTCTTTTTCGCCCAAGACCATGCAGCGCTTTAACCAGGAACTTGTCATGCTTTTAGAGTGCAATCCAGACTTGAAGAAACTGAGCTTCCATGATGTGAACCTGGCTGACCACCAGAAAGAAGTTCTGCTTTTGCTTCAGGACCCCATTCTGCAAGGTATGGCAAACGCCTAGGCACTCATGTCTGAAAAGGTGCTCTGGGGATGCCTTGAGGGCAGCTGCTTTTGACTGGCCACTGTTTTAAGAGGTGGTCTTAGGATGCACAAGCTCTAGCCCAATGCCATTGCCCTGAGGCAAGAGCTGTAACTGTGGGCAGAGAGGGAATGTGCCTGTTCCTCCGAGTTAACAGGGCGGAGAGGAGCAGATGCAAAGTTAATTGTGCTGCAGAGGGAAATCCATAGTCTTGGAAATAAAACAAAAGGCTTCTAGCCTGCCGAGCTTGTCTGCTTTTAACGGGGTTAACTGCTAAACCACCTTCCTGGATGTATCACTGCAGTCTTCAGGAAATGAAGCAAAGGTGCTGCCCTGTGCTACCCACTGCAGGCCCCTTTTAACCTGGTACCTGCTCCTGAGGAAGCTCTTCTTGCTTGTATTAGGGGCTGCAGCCAGCTGCAGGATGTAATTATGGAATAAAGGGTGCATAGAATACTGAAATAAACGTGAATCTGTTTCTTCTCTAGAAATCACATTCTCCTTTTGCCGGCTGTTTGAAAGTTGCACTACGGAGTTTTTGTCAGAAATAATCAATACAGTGAAGAGAAACTCATCTCTGAAGAGCCTCAAACTGCCTGGGAACCGCCTTGGTGCGTGCTGTGAGTTTAAACATTTAGGATGGTTTGCAGCTTGTATCTAACACACATCTTCATTTTCTCCCCACTTAGGGAATCACAGACTGGTTGCCCTTGCAGACATTTTCTCTGAAGATTCCTCCTCTTCTGTTTGCCAGCTGGATGTCAGGTATTTTTCCCTAAAAACACAATTTCTTGTTTGGGGATGCTAGACCTCTTGTGGGCTCAGGCAGCCTGAGCTCAATTCTGTTCCTTACCCCAGGGAATACGTGCCCAAGAAAAGCTTAGAGACCACTCTAAGAGTCACACAAAAGCTAGGGGTCCTGCAAGAGTCACCAAGGGTGGCCTTTGCCCTCTGAAGCCCCACACTGTCTCTTTCATAAACACTTCTAGCCCAAAAAAGCTTTTTTATTTTTTTTTCTCCTCCTTCTCTACAAGACTGCTTCAGACCCTCCCTGCTCTGAGGGTTAGAAGTAATGTCCTTATGTACATTTATTCTTAGGCATCAGTGTGAATAGCTCTGTTCCCAACTGTCCCAGTCTGCTGAATGTGCTCATAGCCCTGTAAGATGCTAAGAACTCCTTTGTGTTCTTTTTGTCACTGCTAAGACCAGGTGCCCAAGTTTAACTTATCCATAGTTAAACACTTCTGATAACTTCCAGCCCTTACAAAACAGAGTTATAACGCACCAAAACTGACAGATCCTTCTTACTCTGTATTGCTGGAGGCACTTTGCACTGAAAGTCTGGAATACCTGCATGGTCATTTACCAGGGGGTGCAGAAATTGAAACTAGTCAAATTATACTCTACATGACTTAGGTGATATAGAGTAATACTTTTAGAGGATATGCTTAATGACTTGGGTTTTTTTTCCTGTCTTCCTTTTCCTGGAAAGCTCAAATTGCATCAAACCTGATGGGCTCCTCGAGTTCACAAAGAAGCTGGAAGGCCACATCCAGCAGAGAGGGGGTCACATTAAATTCACCCACCTGCATCTCTTTCAAAATTGGCTGGACCAGGACGTGGAGACAGCCCAGGAAGCCCTTGGGCGCCTCCGTGCCCTGTGCAGCGTGGTCAACGACACGTGGGACTCGTCCCAGGCCTTCGCCGACTACATCAGCGTCATGTGAGGGACAGCGGCACCAGGGAGGCCTGGTCAGCTCCTACAAAAAGCAGTTCAGTGCATGAGCAGCACGACTTACAGTACAGTGCTGCAGGGAATTTGGTTTTTTTTGGGGGCCTCTGGTCCAAGCAGTGTCTAAGCAGTCTTTCTTGTCACTTCTCTACTGATTTGAAGAGGTGCTCCAGGGAAGTGATACAAGATCTGTCTTGTAACTGCTTAGCTGCAGTTCCATCCTCCTCCCCCAGCTGCTTCCAGTAAACTTCTGAGAGAGCCTACAGGTCTCTGAACAAGCACTGAATTTTACTCTGAGTAGTCAAAAATGTGGTGGTGGTTTCAGTAAACTTCTGATAAATTAGAACACCTCATTCCCTATAAAGGGAGTAGAAAACAAGTAAGCTAAAGGAAGGCCCAATCCTGGACCTTGTGTATTTGGAAAAGTTTGCTTTGTTTAGCAAGGGAAAAAAAGATACAGCCGATGTAGCCTGCTGTTTATTTGTAATCATCAATCAGTGGCTGGGGCAAGTATTCTTGCCCCCATTCTGTATCTGCCCTCATTTTACAGAAGTTTTAAATAGTTTGTTCTTTTGTAACATTTTCATAATAAAAGTGGAATTAAGACCCATAATCTACCAAAGCGTGAATTTTATTACTGCAGTGTAAGGAGATTAAAATACTACTCGGTCAGGGGACCCTTCCCATGCTAAGCATGTGGTTTTGCAAATGGTATGACATTAATAGGGCTCCCTTTCCTACTGTCTGAATATTCTTTCAGGCCAGATGTTCAAAGTACAACTTGAAATGATTTTTTTTGCATGAATCTGCATTCAAATGCAATTAAAAATGCTCACATTTCACAACAGAAATGGATCCTGCCACTTTCTGCTCAGCAGCTGTAAGCCAGAGCTGTCAGGGGAGAAAAAAAATATATGACTATGCACATCTGCTGCTCAAAAGCTGCAGGTTTAACTTAAACTTGAAGGCAGAACTCAGCCAAGTAGAAAGCACAGACATCGCCAGCAGGAGCAGCAGTGCTGATCAAGCACCCCCTGCCTGGTTATGCCCAGTTCCTATGGGGCATTTTTCCAGGCACACACGACAGCAGCAGAGGAAAAGCTGTAACATTCCTGGTTGCTGCAAGCAGACCCTGCCCAGGCCCAGGGGCCTTCCCACCTCTCAAAGCCACACGGTTGCTCTGCTCTTCCTGAGTCCACAGGCCAGCACTTACTGCTTTCCACTGCCCCTTTTCTTGAAAGGGGCTGAGGGGAGGCAGACTGCCACAGGAGCCTGCCCTGGCCTCTACAGGGGACAAGGACTCCTTAGGGAATCCCTCGCTGCTCCTCATGGGAGTGATGATGGAAGGTGAAGGTGACAGCAACATCCCAAGCAGCTTTTAGCACAGAGTCCTGCAGTCCCCGCTTGTCAGCACAGTGGTTCCACTGGGAGAGGTCCGAGGTACAGTCAGACCCTTCCGGAGGGGGCCGCACCTGGTGGCCGTTCACGCAACGACGACACTTGATCCTGGAACAGAGAGATCTGGTCAGGGCATGGTGCAAGGTCCTTCCTCCACCTCGTTGGCTTAGGGGTTGCTTAAAAATGCAGCAAAATAGCATCTGGTTTCGCTCTCCTTCATCTGCAGTTCCTGGCAAGTGGATTTTCAGGCTGGCTCAATCACTACCCTGGCCGTCATTTAAACTCACAGACTCTCTGGAATGCGTGACAGAGGTGTAAAGAATCACGGGGGTTCGGAAACCCTGGGGCTTTGTTCCTAATGCTGCTCCCCCTCCCTGCTTAGCTATGTGCAAATGGGCTGCTAGGAGTCCACCCACATCCAAGAGGAGAAGAGGAGCCAGCAGGACAGAGGTAGCTGTGATGAGGGGTCTCGTGAAGGGCTGAACACTCCTCACCAGGGCATTCCCAGCACCGCCTTGGGCTTCCTCAGCTCAGGGCAGCACGTTTGGCTCCGAGCTGCTCTTTCCTGGCTCCCACCACAGTGCCCAGGCTGCTTCCTGAGCTGCCACAGGAGGAGACGAGCAGCAGGGCAGGCTGCCACGCAGGCAAGACACAGCCACAGAGCCAAGCTTCACGTAAGCTCAAAACTAACCCTCTCCATTCCCTGCCTGCACTGAGTCTTACTAACTTTCCCAGTGAAGTATGTTCCTGCATTCCCTGTCCTCATTCTGGTGGCTACAATACCATAGGTCTTCTAAGATTTTTTAGTGTCCACAGCAGCCCTGGCAGCAGAAGTAGCTCTGTGTTCTGGCACTTGGGGACAAGGCAAACCAGCCAAGAAGGGCAGGGGCAAGTCCAGCTCTGGCAAACAGCTTTCTCATTAGCTGCAGTGCTTCAAAACCTCCAAACACACAAGAAGATTTACTTATTTGTCCATCTCTCAAAGCTTTTATAAGACAACAACAACAACAGGCCATCAAGAAAGTGCTAATCTCCAAATGGTTAAGAGTTTCAAGAGCAAACACACTCCAGGTCATCCCCATTGAGCTTTCTCCTCTTGCCTAAGGAGGCTCTGAATCGAGCAGACCAAACAGCAGAGGGTTTTTGCTGACCCCATCCATCGTTATTCAGTGCACTCACTTGTCGTGGGTATCGCTCCTGGTAGCCTCATTCAGCGTGAACAGCTCCTTGAGCTCCCCCAGTGAGAAGTGCCTCTCCACATCCTGCTCCTCATCCACCACGCAGCTGCTGAGCGCCTTCTTGTGGGTCTGGCGCTGGAAGATCTTCTCCTCTATGGTCCCCGTCTATGAGAGAGAAGATCCCAGGGGGAGCATGGTTGGGACACTAGTATTAAGGAGTTTGGGAGCTAACAGCTGCACTGTTTGCTACAAGCAGCTGGTAAAGAGACAAGAAAGGCTACAAAAACCACCATTATTGCCTGGCATTGCTGTGCTTTACAGGAGAAGTGTCTTCTGCAGTCAAACTCTCCTCAGAGAAAGAGGAAAAGCAACAGCAAAGGATACTACAGGTGACATGAGCATCAGCTGTATTTTCTGGTACACCCACACACTGATCAATCACACACTCTGAGCAGGTGGGCTTAAAGGCCAGTATGTCACTACTCCGAGCAGAGGGAAGTGACTCCTCCTCAAACAGGTGGGCTTAAAGGCCAGTATGTCACATTTTTAAGGCAAAATCTATGAGAAAATCCATGGTTATTTTGCAAACGAGTGTAATACAACAGAGAACAGGGTGACTACTCAAATTTGTAGACTGGCTTTTTTAGTTCTAAAAGCAAAACAGTGCTCTGGTTCCAGATGTAGGTGGGTCAGAGGAAAATTGGAACCCCATAAGGAACAGCTGGGCAAAGATCACATGTACAAATGCACGGAGAGAGGACAAACATCATCTGTTTTGCCTAAGTAAAATAACAAAAGATCAGGGAACACAAGCTTATAAAAGAGGCAGTGATTCAAGGGAGACACTAAGTTAACAAAGAGCAAACAAGTGACATTTGTGATCAGTTTACACTACTGATAGTGCAGCACTATTGTAGCCAGGGAGCACTAGCTGCAAAAATGCTCATCTCCTGATTTATAGGGCAGCTACCCCGCTGACTGCCTGCTAGCCCCATTCCAAAAGCTGCTGTAACCCTGGGAACAGAGCTGCTCTTTTAATCAGTATGTGTACACGCCACAATAGACTGCAGGCAAGTTGATAAATAGATCTCAAAAACAGACACCTTGCGAAACCAAAGAATTCAGGTGCCTAAATGACTTCAAAAATTAAAGATCTTGGCATCTTATTTGGAAATTTTCTGTTGTTTGTATTCTCACAGAAGTCAGTCATTATTAGAAACCAAGGCCAGCATGAATATTCATTGTTTGCCATGGTAATATGCCTTAAGCTTGGAAGCAACTGAATTCCAAACAATTCTCATCACTGACACCACAGCAGCCTCTCCCTTCTGGTCCCAGTCCCAGCCCGGGATGGCTCCGAGCCCAGTGGTATGGAGGAGAGGAGTTGCACTCACGGAGAGCAGCCGGTAGATGTAACAGGTCTTCTTCTGGCCATCCCTCCACACGCGAGCCATGGCCTGCTCGTCGTTAGCCGGATTCCAGTCCGGGTCAAACATGACCAGCCTGTTGGCCCCGATCAAATTCAAACCGCAGCCACCTGCTTTGCTGCTCAACATGAAGATGAACTCGGGGCTCTGCGCAGACAGACACACATGGATTAATGTCCCCCCATGTTTACTCACAGCTCCCTGAACCGGGAGGACAGATGGGGCCAAGTAGCAAATTCCACATACTGAGGGGCTGTTGAATTGCTCCACAATCTTTGCTCTCTTTTTAATGGACATGGTGCCATCCAGCCGGACATATAAGTACCTGGAATACATAACATTTACTACAGCCTGAGCACTGTAAGAGAAGAAGATATTTCACAGCCCTGTAAGAAGGGGTTGGACTTTACGAGCTTTGCAGAGGGCCAGAGCTTTTCTGCCAAGTGACCCACAGCAGCCAAAGCACAAGTCACCTTAGAGAGAGATTCCCAAATTGGAACTAAAGGTACAAGAAAGGTCACAAGTTCCTGATGATAGAAACCTTAAAAATAGCCAATTTCTTTTACAGTGTACACTAAAAGCACAGTTCTGGAGAATTAGATAAATGCAACCTAAAGACAAACCTTCTGTTCCTGCAGAGCTTTTCAAATAGGTCCAGTGTCTGGGTGTAGTTAGAGACAAGAACTACCTTGTCGTTACTGGTACTTTTTGTAACAGCAAGGATGTAGTCCAAAACCAGCATCTTTCCTGGAAAGAAAAAAGAAACATCCTAGAGATGTTCCCAAATTCCTGACCTTGGAGGGGTACTTGTTGGGGCACTAAAGGCAGTCTTATAGGTTGCCTGGGTTAGGCTGTAACGTTACCTGAAAGTTGAGGCTCCACAGCTTTGGTGCTGTAGCCAGCAGGGAACAAATCCAGGGCTCCAGTAAAACCTTCCTCCTCTTCCACACACTTGTCATAGATCAGGGCAGGATCTGGAGAACAGACAGAGC